GTTATATATTTTAATAAATTTTAAAATATTATATAATAATATTTTAGAATTTATTACTAAAAGTTAGGTACAAAATTGTTATTTTTCAACATAATCACCGTAAAGATTGAGGCATTTGTCATATCTGTGGACGAGCTTTTCCATCCCCTTGTCATAAAATGTTGCTGTCAGTCAATTGAGATGGTTTTAACAACGTTGTTTTGAAGATCGTCATTAATTCATTAGTCTCAAACCACTGCCACGTTTTCAGTTCAAGAAACAGGTAGAGATCTTCAGCACTTTTAAACACCCAGCGTATAGCCCCGGTTTAGCGCCGAGCAACTTCAACATCTTTCCTGAACAGGAAAAGTGGCTAGGAGGGCAGAGGTTCGAGACTAGTGACGATCTTCAAAACAACGTTAGTGTCCATCTCGAGTCATTGGCGGCAACATTCTATGACAAGGGAATGGAAATCCTCGTCCACAGATATAACAAATTCCTTAATCTTCACGGTGATTATGTTGAAAGGTAACCATGTCTGTACCTAACTTTTGGTAATAAATTAATTTTGTTATTTACATTTGTTTTTCATGGACCATTATAGCTCGAAAAACATCTTTCGTATTTGGGTAAATTCCCAGTGCTCCTTTTAGTGTTCAGAGTAGGATACCCTTATGAGTGCCTATGCCCCCCATAAAATGACTTGGTATTTAATTTTGCCGGGGTCGAAGTCTAGTATTTTCTTACCGACTCTTCAGCCCTGGTAAAGAGCATATATTTTTTGAATTATACGAGCGCTAAGCTGGCTTTTCTTTTCCGCTTGACTTATTATACCATCAATAAAAAAGGACAAATTTTAGAAAAACTTTTTATTTCTTTGAGTATGCATTTCGGACAATTATGGCCCTTTTCAACTTTTGTGTTACAACTATATATAGAAATTTACGTCCAGGTTAGCAGAATGTATACAAGTTAGCATGAATTTGTTGTAATGTAACAAAATTGTAAAAGAACATTAGGAAATTTACATGGATTATGAAAAATGCAGGAGTAGTGACATTAAATAAAATATAGATGGTGATTATTTATTAACAGGTATAAGCTAAAATAATGATTGAATTGAAAATGATTAACAAAGAGGAAAACAAATAAAATAGATGTAAAAAGTTTTGAACCTACTGCAAACATGATGGCATGGTACATAGTGTTGAAAAAGTACCCCGGAATACATGACTCAATGCTGAATTAAGTATATAAAATTTGGGAAACCGTTATCTTGACTACAATAAAAACAAGAGAAAGAACCTTTGGAACAAGCAGCATGAAGAACTGAAGGTAATCATGGAAAATGAAAATGAAAAGGACGTAAGAAATTTGTTTTAATTTACAGTGGAGTTTTACACTTTAAGATTGTCCACAAATTATAAGTGGAAGAGTTAACAGGGTGCATCAGAAAAGCACCGTTTGGAGATGGGAAAGAGATAGTGAATGGAATGGTCTTAAGAGAAGAGTGTCGAAAAACAAGTTTCTGAGGGGTTAACGTAACGCGCAATCTTTATGAATAACACAAGACGAACGGAAATTCTTGATTAGGTCAATTAGCGTTCGATATAGAAGGGATAAGACTTAATAATCGATAGGAAATCAATCGGTAAGTGCTCGTTTTCTATAACAATTTTCTTTAAAATAAATATTTTTCGAGCTTTTTCAAGTTCTTTTGGTCTTAAAATAATTATATTTTTGTGGGTATATTGAGTATTGAATTATATTTTATAACTAAATATTGCTGACGAGTTTTATCTTTTAATTTACTGAAATAAAAATCGAAGTAGATATGAAAAATTTTGTCTTTTGAATGAAAGAAATCTCATTTTATCAAAGATAACGAGTCAAGTGTTTGCTTCCTTTAAAAAGTATTGAGTTAACTGTTTGAGTCTTCTTGATTACACGGTATCTTTTTTAGATAAGATTGAACTGCGGCCTACTGTAGACCTGTTCAAGCTATACTACCGAGAGCAACGTCAGACATCTTCTGCCCACTCTCTATTTGTGCTGTTATACTTTCGGAAATAAAAACCGAAACGAAGCATAAAAATTGCCCGCCTGAAAGATTCGCGAATACTATAAAAAAATTGTGTCTGTGAAAAAAATAAAAGAGGGGGATAGCAAGGGAGAGTCTCAAGATTCCGAGAAATACTATTCAATCAGAATATACCGGATTAATCGTCGATGTTGAGGTCTCCCGCATTCCAAAAGGTTTTGAACTGTTACCTGAAGACAAGGAAAGATCAATCTGTATTCATAATTTTCTATCGCTTCTTTTTATGTTTATTCCGTAAATGTTCGTTATCCGAACACGCGTTCGTTGTTAGATCAAAAAAACCTTTTGCGAAAGTGTTCGTTATTCGATTTGTTCGCAATCCGAACTGTTCGTTAACCAATCACCTACTATTATTATATTGACATTTTATTTGCTAAGTCACATGTTTATGGATTACATTTGTTAATTTTTCATATCTTATACTATAGAATATCAAAAGGTCTATAAATGTAGTACTTAAGTAATACTTAGCTTCGATAGCTTCAATGGAGAATTACATACTTTAACGTACAGTATATACATACATATTTTCACATTTATAATCCAAAAATAATGAGCAACAGGCAAAATCAGACTACATTATTACGAATGCATCTATTTATCAACTTTTCCACACCTTCCTGTCAGGCACACTTTTGTTTACACTTATAGTATAAAAATTACTGTAGTTTCATAAGGATTTTTTGCTTTTAGGAATAAATGTGCTACACATTATTACAGCAGTAAATTTCACGGTAGGAGACAAACACTGCTTGTCAGAAACACACCATAGCCACATCACGTAATTACGGTATATATTATATACAATAAATACTGTAATTATCACTGTTTTATATAGCAAATATAACTATTTATTTATTTATTTCTTCTACATTAACATGATAAACAATTGGTTTTTTCTCTCACAGCTAAATGCGTAAGTAGACACTATATATCTTTGACATCACTCTATATTCAAAAATTTCTTCTGGGCCAATACACGTTTTGGCTATACGCTCTTCTACTGTCGGCTTTTCTTCTGATATATCTTGTTAAGAGGTTCTAAATAATATATATCTTGTTTAAAAATTACATATATTTACAGTTAAAAATTTTACATTTAAACTTTTTCGGCATATCACTGAACGGCACTTAGCTCACACTTGCTATGTCCGAATTGCACAAGGTTTTCCTTCGTTGTGACAGAAAAAAAAAACTAAAGAAGACCCGGTTTCAAAATAAACAAAGATAAACAATTATTTATCTCCTATACCCTACGGTTTTATTTGCCTGTTAGAAGTTAAATTAGGTTATAGTTACAATCTCTGTGTATATTATAAAACATAACAGTCAGAAAAATTATAAAATGATTACTACATATGTAAGTAGTATGAACCAAGTTTACAATAAGAAATCATATAAGTATACGAAAGCAGCAATAAAGGTCAAAATGAACTTTATGCCACTTGCGAGACATATGACATTATCATAATAAATCATACTAAATATACTTAAAGTTATTTAATTAACAGTCTTATCTCATTAACATATGTAATGTTAATGTAATTTGTAATGTTTATCACACAACAGAAATTTTTGAATTTTTGCTGTCTGCATTTCCGTAATGTTTTGATTTGAAGTTACTGTTTCTTGCGATGTTTTATTTCTTAGCACGTTGGACAGAAGACTGCTCAATGGGGATTCAAAAAACACAAAGAAGAACAGAGCAGCAATCAGTGACAAAAACATAACAAAGGAATATATCATCCACTGTAAAAAATAAATGTAATCAGTTATGAAAACCTCTAAAAAGTGAAATTGCAAGATCATAAAGAAATATTTTAATTGATCAACAAAGATTGCAATGTTTTGCTGTTCAATTAAAGCAGACTTAACATTGGTGCGAGAAATTTTGGAGATATTCAAAATTATATTGCTGAACTAGTCCCCCAATATAAGCATCAAGTACATCTTCCTAGATGTAGCAGGGGTTAGTATCCTATTCATCGCTCGAAGCCATAGCTCTGGGAAGTGAACTTGGAAAGCTAAGGATGTGGCGGCATTCGCGTAAGTTAAGATAGATGACACTGACCCGAGATCTGGATAGCTCCTAGGCAATATAAATGTTGCTGTCATGAACGATCTTATGGGTGACCTGGCAAAAAGTTCGTTTTATGTTAGGTTAGGTTAGGTTAGAGTAAGAATCTTTACATTGATTACAATAATTTGATTTACCTGAAAACAATACTATAAAATTATTNAATATAAATGTTGCTGTCATGAACGATCTTATGGGTGACCTGGCAAAAAGTTCGTTTTATGTTAGGTTAGGTTAGGTTAGAGTAAGAATCTTTACATTGATTACAATAATTTGATTTACCTGAAAACAATACTATAAAATTATTATAGTATTAATATTAACTACTTTTTACCATACGATAAGTGCTCAATGTTAATGAAAAAGTAATAACAATTTATAATGATAATCTAATTTTTTTAATTGTTTGTCAAAACCGTGTCTTCTTAGTCTTGTTTTGTTTGGTTCAATGTCACGACTTGGCGAATATATTGACAATTGAATTTATTTGCGTCAAATTGAGAGATAGAATAGCAAAATTACAAACCTACTTTGAAGCAAATGACATGGATTTCATGAAAGCAGATAAATCAAAACAAATTATCATAGTGAAACAAGAATGGATCGAAACCAAAAAGTCGGAAATAGTGAATAACGGGTCTTTCAGAGAACTACCAATAGACTTAAAATAAGTCATTTATTTTTTACAAATTAAAAGACAAAGTCGTTCTAAAAATATATATTTCAGACGATTACCATTTTTACAAAGTGTTCTAGAACAAAGTACAGACAGCTGGACCTTCCTTTTTAGGCTACACAACTGCCTATATTTTAAAAAGTTCCTTAAAAACACAAAAAAACAATAAATTATTAAGAAAAAATCTTCTTTAAAATTGGAATGGTAAATCTTACGACGTCTTGTTACTTCATCTTTGTCCATAGGGTTTCTGGCTCTTTATCTAATGTGGATTAGCGCTGACAAATGTAGATTACGCCGATATCCCTCTGGTGACGAATTTTAGCGATATATTTGAATTTGATAATTCCAATTTTAAAGAAGATTTTTTCTTAATAATTTATTTGTTTTTTGTGTTTTTAAGGAACTTTTTAAAATATAGGCAGTTGTGTAGCCTAAAAAGGAAGGTCCAGCTGTCTGTACTTTGTTCTAGAACACTTTGTAAAAATGGTAATCGTCTGAAATATATATTTTTAGAACGACTTTGTCTTTTAATTTGTAAAAAATAAATGATTCATCTGACGGAAATTCAAATATA